TTCTCTGACGCTTTTTGACAGAGATTTTGAAACACAAGTCTCCCAAGCCGTTTCCCCCATAGGCTTCAATGGGCTTTTCGGGCGCAACACTGAGGGTTGCGATCCAGTTACCAGTCAAAAAAAAAAAAAAAAAAAAAAAAAAAAAAAAAGGAAAGTGACCTAGTCATGGGCTAAGCAGTGGCTTGAAAAACATGTTTTAGAAAACATACGTATTTTCTTCATAAAAAGTAAGATGATGGTAAATATGCATAATTCCTATCTACAACATCTTCTCTGGGCCTCATGTTCTTGCCAAAAAAAGTTGAGTTTCTAAAGCAGAATGAACACAATTAAATAACTTCAAATGAGAGGTTTAAAAAATGACTGCACTAACTAAACACATAAGATTATTTTTCTAGACTATACATTTATTACCAAACTAAAGTTCACATTTTGTAGAAAACAGAAATTCAAGAACTACTTCAAATACATATATGATTTAAAAGTTGATAGAAAGATTTATCACATAACATATATATGGCACCGCAGTTCAAAAATACAAGTAAACCATGGACACCTTACCTGTTTCCTGTGAATTTAACACTTCTAAGGCATGCATCATGGCACTTGCGAAGACATTGGCATCCTCTTTGCTGCCAAAGTTGAGACCATACACCTGTCTAGCATCTCGCCATTGGTGGAAGGTCTGTGTAGCTTGATTGTACTTCAACCCTTTAGGAATGGCACAATTTATCACGACCTAAAAGACAATAATTCCTTATAAAGTCAAGCTAATAACTGGCAAAATCAAGGAGTCAACCAATCCTGATTGTGTATATTCACTCCAACCTGTTCCTAACAGACCTTCGCAAAAATGGTTAGAATAATTATCTAGAGTAAAATCTGTCTGCAGAAAAATCAGTCCAATGGATGTTAAGCTGTCTGATGGTTAAAAACGTCTTTCTTAGAACAGTAAATCATTAAAACAAAAAAAGAATCTATACCCTTCATTAAACATACTTTAACTTGTTTGTTGAAGTAGTACAAATACAAAGAGCGTATAGAACCTACGCGTGTATCTCAGTGAACATTCCCATGTAAACAAAACCCCAATCAAGAAACAGAATATTAATACCAGAAGTACTCCTTAACTCTTCCCACCTCCCAAAAGGTACTAGCCACACTTCCAGCATCATAAATTAGTTCTGCTGGTTTTGGGATTTTATATAGTGAAGTTACACAATATGTACTATAATATACCAGCCCTCTTTCCCTAAAATTATGTTTATGACAGCTATTCATTTGTGGCATGTGGCTGTGTTTTGTTCATTTTCATTGCTCTGTGGTATTCCTTTGTGCAAGTCACGTTTATTTACCCATTCTCCCATTAATGTACATTTGGATTACTTGCAGTTTGGGGATATTACAATAGTGATGTTATAAACATTCTACTGAATGTCTTTTAGTACACACAAGCACACATTTTTGCTGGGCATATACCCAGGTGTGGAATTATAACAGGCCATGTTCAACCTTAGTAGAAAACTCTTGAGTAGCTTTCCAAATTGCTTCTATCAATTCACACTTCCATAGCAGTATACAACAGCTTGTACTACTCCACATATTATGCAACTGTATAATTGCTACTGCCGGTCTTTATTTTAGCAATTCTGGTGGGTATGGATACTATCTCACTGTGCTTTTAGTTTGCATTTCCCTGATTGCTAATGAACTTTAGTACTTTTCATGTTTTATTGACTATCTAGATTATCTTTTGTGAATACCTGCTTAAGTTAAATCTCTTGCCCATTTTTCTCCTGAGTTTTCCATCTTTTTCTTCACTGATTTATGAAAGTCCTCTATATACACTGGATATGATCCCATTGCTGGTTATCTGTGTTGCAAATATCTCATCACATTCCATGACTTTCCTTTTCCCTCTTAACGGTGTCCTCATGAACATAAGTTCTTCACTTTTATTCGGTCCAAATTGGCAATCTTTCCTTCAGCTAATGCTTTTTGTGTACTGTTTCTTAAACATTTCTCAATCCCAAGGTCATGAAAATATTACCTCATACTATCTTACAGAAGCTTTATTGTTTTACCTTTCACATTTACATCCTCAATCCTACTTATTTATGCCTATGGTGTCACACAAGACTCAAGTTTCCTATTTGTTCCAATATGACTGTCTAATTGATCAGCACTATTACCTATGCTACAAGTTTACCTTTTTCATAAACCAAGTGTCTCTATGGCTCTGTTTCGTCCTACTGGTCAATATACTTATCTCTTTGCCAACCACTACAGTGTTTTAATTATTGTGGCTTTTACTAAGTCTATCTGATAGCCACTAGAGTGTGTCCTCCTATTTGGTTCTTCAATATTGCTTTGGCTAGTCCTGGTCCTTCCCGTGCAGCTACAATTTTATATTCTGATTGTGAATTTCCACCAAAGAAATTTTGGGGGTTTTGACTGAGGTTGTACTGAAGCTAACAGATCAATCTGAGGAGAATTGATGTCATAAAGTTATCTTCTAATTCATGAATATCATCTACCACACTTTAGATATTCTTTAATCGTCGATAGCCTTCTGTACCAGGGTCCTGAACACCTTTCATTAGATTTGTTAAGTATATGATACATTTTTGTTGCTATTATAAATAATATCATTTAAAATTTTTGTTTTCTAACTCTGATGGAACTACTGATTTCTGTATAATGACAATGTGCTCATAGATCTTATTGAACTTGTTTATTAATTCTAACTATTCTAATCTTCTATTAATTCTAATAATTTACGTTCAGGTTTTTTCCCCTAAATACACAGCCATGTCATATGCAACTGACAGCTTTATTCCTTCCTTTCCAATCCTTGTCGCATTTTATTTCTTTTTCTTACCTTCATACACTGGCTAGGACCTGCAATACAATGCTGAAAAGAAGTGGTGATATCAAGTATCTTTGTCTCTTCCCTGATCTTGAGGGAAAGCTTTCTTAATTTCACCATTAAATATGATCTTTCATGTAATATTTCTGTAGATACCTTTTATCAGACTGAGGAAGTACCTTCCTATGCCTTGATAGAAATCTTTAAAAGCTTTAAATTAAAGAGGATGCATATAGTTTCACTTAAAGATAACTACTTATTGGACGTCCACTAGACATGTTGTCAGGCTTGGACTTCATCACAATTCTAAACTCTGTGCTTCAGACCCAATGAGCCTGAGTTTAGACTGGTGGTGATATTCCACCCTACACATGCCTATCTATTTTTAGCCCGACCATAACAGAGTAAACAGTGCAGTAAACACCTACTCTTCCTTGTGACTTGGCTCAATATCTTATTTTTGTCTATGAAGTCACTCATGACCCTTATCCCCATCTTCTCAAGATGTTGGTGATTCTTGTAGGCCCTTGGTGTGCTATGATTTACATTTATCATAAGTGAAACATTTAGCTGTACTTCTTTGTTTATGTGCTTAACATCCCCGTTTTCTACTGCATCTTTCCTTCAAGGTCAGGATCTTTATTACCCATAGAAAACCTAAGCATGGTACCTAGAACATAATAAGCACTTAACAAATGTTAACAGGAAGATGAAATACATATAATATATATTTATATAATTTGTACATATTTAATTTTACAAATAAACTATGGGTGATTTTATTTAAAAGTTCTTACTAAAGAAAGTTTAGATGTTTAATAAATTATAATATGTTTTCACTTAGAACAAACTAATAACCATTAAGAAATGTAACAACATACCCTGGAAAAAGAGGAAACCAATTATTTATTAGATTTATTATTAGGTACATTATCATTTGTTTCTTTAAGTAACATCTTTACAAAATTATACTTTCTAGTTGTTTATTGCTAGTTAACAAAAATGCAACTGATTTTTATTCACAGGACTGATCGTGTATATAGCAACCTTGCTCAGCAATCTTATTAGATCCAATAGTGTATCTGTAGATACTTCTGGGATTTTTTTATATAAATAATTATAACGATGGTAAATAAGACCAGCTATTTCTTCCTTTGCAATCCTTATAGTTTATATTCTTCATTTTTGTATCACTAGGTTGCTGGAATTTCCGGTGCAACACTAAATAAAAGTGATTAAAGCTGAAACCTCAACTTACCACAAGTTTAGTGGAAATGCTCTCAACATTGTACTGTCCTTTAAGATATTACTGCATGCTTTTATTATCCACCCTTATCAACTTACGAAAATTCATTTCTATGCCTAATGTGCTGAGAATTATTATGTATTGATTGACTTGAATTTTATCAAATACTTTTCCATAATCTCTTGTTTCTTGTAGGTTTTCTCCTGATAAACCAGTATATCTAATGTTATATCTTCCTTACATTACTGAGATAAAGAGGGATAAGTCCTATTATAGTCAACAGGTGGTCCTTTTTTTTCTTTCCATACACATTGCTGCATTTGGTCTGCTAATATCTTATTGAGGTCTTTTATATCTATGTGTACGGTTATAATTGAGACTGGCTTATAATTTTCCTCTCTGAAACTGTTCTTCTATGATTTAGATAGAATTTTTTAGCCTCATAAAATACTGTTCTCTACAATGGTATGCATAAAACAGGCAGTATCTTCAAGTTTTCAGATTTCATCTGTAAAGATTCTGGACTCTCCTGCAATATTTTTTAAATTGGGGTGATTGTAGGTCTATTACGTTTTTCAACTTTTCCATCAGTTTTAGAAAATTATGTTTTTCTACAAAATGGTCCATTTACTGGCATAAAGTTTTTCATAATATTGTTATAATTTATATTTCCTTACTGTAACTATAGTAACATTCTTTTCTCATTCCTAACATTGTTTGTTTGTTTTGTTTGGGACTTTTTTTTGGTGGTTGGCTCGCATGGGGATCCAAACTCTTAACCCTGGTGTTATAACACCATGCTCTAAACAACTGAGCTAATGGGCCAGCCTCTAATATAGTTTATTGTACCTTTCCTTTTTTTATTTGATTCTGCCAGTTTGTCTAGTTTGTCTTTTCAAAGAAGCAACTTTTGTGTTAATAATTCCCATTTATTTTTATTTAATTTCTTTTACTTTTAGCATTTTCTTCTGCTTTTTATTTTTCCCTTCTTTCTACTATATGTAGTTGAGATTTGTCCATCTAAGGACAGCTTAAATGCCCCACAGATTTCTATATGTAAGATCTTATCACTCAGGTCTAAGTATTTTCTAATCTTCATAATGATTTCATCTTAGCAGCACAAATTATTCACAAGTATGATTTTAAATTTCCAAACATTTTAAGAAAACACTCTATTTGTCAAAATCTAAGAGTCATAGGATAGTTTAATTCCTCTAAGAATAAAAATTTTAGTGTTTCATATGAAAATTTTCTGGCTTAAAACAATTTTTTTTCTAAATATTCATTTTCTTTTTTGTCAACATACTTTTAGGATTGTTCATCAGTAATGTCAAATGACCAATTCACCAATTTACCAAAAATGCATTTATTTTACAGCTGTTAGTTTGGCATGTTGTATTAAAAATGTTCAACAACTTCTACTAAAGTTTAATTGTCCAGTTTTCATTTCTTCTCTATAATAGAATCTTAGGGAGTATTTGATTTATCTCTGGCCTAACTCACTGCTAGAACACTCTGGTGGAAGAAAGACAAAGAGAAAGCACCAAGCACAACCTGCACTACCAATGGAACAGACGGGGTTCTTGGCACAAAGACTGGGAAGACCAGAGAAAGACTATGCAACACAACAGAGCACAGTGAAAAAGGAAGGAGACTAGGGAGGAAAAAGAAGAGAGTAAGGGGGCAGGGCACAAGGGAGACACAGAGAGAAGTATCCTGAGAAGGCAGAAAGAGGGGGAGGTAGAGACCATTTGTATTAAATCGGAAAATCTGGTAAATTTGGTGAATTGCTCTTTCTGCAGACTGACTCAGGGCTGTGGAAGTTTCTTTCCAGAGGGCACTGCACTCTTTTTACCAGGTGCCTCAAGAGCTTCACTGGCCTGCAACTGATGTTATTGGCTGGAGATGTATAAGTGAGACTGAGTTTCCCATTTCTCAGGCGAGTTCCTAAGCCAGCTCAGACAGAAACAAACTCTTTTGCCTCCCTGTGCTGATTAAGAAGATTCCTCTTAATCCTCTTTTTATGGGATACAACCCCTCTAAGATTCCCAGTTTTTTCTTTTTTTTTTCCTTTTTGTCTTTTTTCATGTCCGGCAACGGATCGCAACCCTCAGTGTCACGCCCGCACCTCGCTGAGCCAGTGAGCGGAACCGGTCTGTATGTGGGATCCGAACCCTTGGCGGGAGCGCCGCCGCGCTCCCAAGCGGCGCACTGTAGCAGTGCGCCACCGGGCCGGCCCCGAGATTCCCAGTTTTTTCTGCAGAGGTATCAGTTCCAAAGCCCAACCTCTCATAGGTCCATAGTCCCTATATGCACGTATGACAAACCTAAGTCCCAAGCCATTACCAGTCCATAATCTCCATCCTGAAACCCAGGGCTACTGCAGCATCTGTTCATACACTACACTACCACATTTCCTAATGGAAACCTAGGAATCTACGTTTCTTTAGTAAGTGCTCAAAACTGGGCAGTGACAAAACAAATTTGTTATATTTTTACTGCATGTATAGCAGAAAAATTTTAACATCAGCTGATTCCAACATCTTTGGAAAATACTTTTTCCAAAAGTATTTTGTAAATGTACTCTTTATAAAAGGTCTTGCTACTATTAGTGTATAGTTAATGCTAGTAAAACCCTAAGTACCTTTTCATCTATCTACTGCTCTTGATCTGTTAAGGCCCAAGAAGTTAAGTAATCAGATAATCCAGCTACCTTCCAGGAAATCCAGAGCAAGGTAATTGCAAAAGCCTAACTATTCCAGCAACCTTAATATCTACCATTTTTCTATCATATGTGAATTAAAAAATTTTTTTGAAACTACACTTTCAACTCCTTCTTCTAACCCTATACCCCACACCTTTGGAAGGAAATGAATTCCATAAATATACAATCTACTTCTTAAGTAGTATTTCATTTCTGTTTGTCCTAAATTCACTTGAGAATCCAAAATCTAGCTAGTTGGAAGGCCTGAAGATCTAATGAAGAGTCATAATAGAAAAACTCATATATTCTTTTTTGTACATTTAGTTCTAAATCCTGACCTAAATTTAGGCTTCATAAAAGGTAGAAAGGGTGGGAAGGCAAATCTATACTCAGTTTTTCCCAGAGAGACTATTTTGATTAGAGTTTTAAAGCACTACTTTATTTTACTGAATATAACAAGTCCCTTGGTAACACTAGATCATCTTTAAATATGCATTTTAACAGACCCTTACCTGATGGTCCTGAATCTTCCTGCCCACCACTCTGAATGTGTTGTTGCCTGTATGGTGATATATATGAACTCTGCTGAACCCAGTTGAGCCACCAGCAGGCACCCACTTCTTATTGGCATCATCATAAACCATCACAGCAGCTCTTGCCTGACAGATACTCTGTTCACTGTAAAAAACAAAATTTTCAAACTTAAGATATTTAAATATGCTAGGTATCCCACACAGCCGTATAAACCAGGGTCAGCCAACCTGACAGTCGGTTAACAATTAGTTCCGTTACAGGGTGCTGTAAACAGTGAACAAGACAGAGGCTTCGTGGCCTTATGAAGCATAATAAGGGATCAAAAAGGAGGAGATCAAGCTCCAAAAACAGCACTTAGACAAGCAACACGAAAAATGTTTTCTTCTAAATTTAAGTATATAATTCATTCATTAAACTAAATACGACTACAAGTTTATCATTAATTGTACGTATGTTTATTATAATGGTGACTTATCTGTGATTACCCCTTACTGACAAAATTATGTTTATCATCAGGCTTGCTTCACAGAGTACAAAAAATTCTGATAAGCACTATGTGCCCCTTGAGACATGAAGCGACCACTAACAATCAATGGATGGCAATGTGACTAAATCCTTGATTCCCCTGGGGAAAGATAACATCCTATACTTCAAATATCTTCACTTAAAAATGAAAAAGCAAAATGAGGTACTTTCTAAGAATCCTACTAGATTTTAAATTCTAACCACCATGGATAAATATTAAGAAGGAAAATACCAATTCTATGATAGAAACTTTAAATGTTAGCTTCTTCTATCTGAATTATTTGTTACCAAGTGAGATTGGGATACAAAAATAAATTATAGAGATGATCTCAATTTCATGTTAAGCAATAGGTTCATCTTTCAAATACTCTATAATCCTGCTGCAAAGATTGATTTGAATTTTACCTTACTTCATGCCATGCTTTTTATTTTTTAAAAAAATAAATACCAAAAGTGACCAACAGGGAAAGAAAGGAGCATTAACTCTATGCCAACTATTAACTCCATTAAAATAATCCAATCTCCACACAAATAAGCCTTCTGATGCTTTCGATGCTTAAGCAATATAGTTAATGAAGATGCTCCTAAGAAGCACACACAACCCCAATCTTAACAAAAGCACTGCTCTTTCTACCAATTACAGTCTCAAAGATTTTAAGAAATCATGTGGGTTCCTCCCGAATATCTTCTGCCCCATCTCTTGACCCACCTAGGACAGATCGTGAAAGCACAGTTTTGCAGGAGGTGGTATGTGTTTTACTCTTGTCCTGTGACTTGATGACAGATGATCATGGGAGACCTAAAGAAGTCACACCACTGAGTAATAAAATTGCTTCAGAACAATGGGCTGTTTACTGCTTTAGCTTACATGATCCCACGGAGACTTGAAGAGACACTGATTTTTGAAATTTGGGAAATTGTGTTGATCCAAAAATAGTACTTTTTGAAAACTGGTAAATACTGTTCTGTATTAATTTACAAATTTGTTTACTGAATTGTTATTTACAATTAGTAGTAATTTTTTTTCTTGAACTGTAAGTTGTAAGACACTTTGCCTTAGCTTGTTTATACTATTTCATCAGAGAAATTTCACAAAAACTAACTTGTAACAATATTTGTGCAACAAACCCAGTGGTACTGTAAATTTTTATGCTACACTGAAAATTTTTGGTAAAATATTTCTGGGAATAGAAACAAGCCAATGACTAAAGCTTGAATTATTTTAAAAGATTGATTAAAGGGTATTTGTCAGTATAGCAGTTGAAATCTCTTCATCACTCACAACAGAAAAACTTGTTAAGTGACAACATTTATATAACCCTATACAAAGACTACTTGAAACAAGCTAAGGCAAAGTGCCTCTTACAGCTTACATCTCAAGAAAGAAATGTAAATGTTTACTAACTGTAAAGAAAGTTCAATAAACAGGGCGGAGCCCATGGCGCATCCCGAGTGCGGCACTGGGGGATGATGACCGGTGCGCTCGCAGCGCTCACTGGCTGAGCACGGTGCGGCCGGTCTCAAAAAAAAAAAAAAAAAAAAAAAAAAAAAGGACAAAAGTTCAATAAACAAATCTGTAAATTAATACAAAACAGTATTTGCCAGTTTTCCAAAATTATTATTTTTGGACCATTAAATGTTGGATCATAATTTCCCAGGGTTCAAGAAATAATGTCTCTTTAAGTCCCTGTGCGAACATATAAGCTAAGCAATACCCTATTTTGTAAATTAGGTCACTCTATGCATCAAAGAAACAAAACCACTCAAAAAAAGCACAGAAAATCTAAAATCAGGAACATTAGATATAATGCCCCAAAGTTTTCCTCCACCTTTCTCATCACAATTATGTATAATGGGGTTGCTGGAGACATCACAAATACTGGAAAACATCATTAACTGAATAGCTTTGACTAGTGCTTACCTAATCAAAATTCAACAAACCATTTAGTAATCAAATGTTTGGTTACTTTGATTTCCCTCGGAAAGCTATAACCACAGAAACAAGGATCTCCAAATGAACATATCCAGTAGCCAAGAAAGGTCAAAAATGCAAAAAATTAGTCGATTACTTTTCTGATGAAGAAGAAATCTTCAAAATGAGATCTTAAGGATACAAATCCAACTCTAAACAAAGCCAGGAAGCATGAGGAGATGCCAAGAATAAGAGAAGGAAAACTAAGATTCAGGTAAGGGCTGAGTTACTGGAGAAGTAACAGCTATGTGGGTGTGTGGCAAGCTGTGAAGGGGCAGGATAAGCCCAAATAACCATAGTCCTAAGAAGACATCAGGCACTCACAGGAGCCACGAGGCCCAGCCAGAAGGGATGCACTGCCCACTGGGGTTTAGTGACGAGTGCAACCCAATCCTCCCCTCCTTTCCACAGCATCTGAGGACCTCTCATCACTAGACACAGACAGACATCCTTTGGTATAATAAAAAGTATTTGGTCTTTGTCCCTGGTTCCAGGCACAAAGCTCCTCAAAACCTTTGGGAATCTCCTGAGTGATAACAATGTCTTTGGTATACTAACAAGATGACTCTTGGCTGAGGGGCTCCTATATAGCTTCAGGATGGAGCCTGGTGAGTTGGAACTCCGTCCCACTGTCCTACTCTCCCCCTACCACCTTTGGGGAGGGGAGAAGGGCTGGAGATTGAGCTTAATCCCCAAAGGCCCAATGATTTCCTCAGTCAGACCTACGTAATGAAACCTCCAGAAAAACCCTAAATAATGGGATTCAGAGAGTTATCTGGAGTGGTGAACACACAGAGATACTGGGAGCCGTAGTGCGTGGAAAGGGCATGGAAATTCCACACCCTCACTCCACCCAGCCCTCATACCTTGTCCTATGCATCTCTTCCATTTGGCTGTTCCTGCATGGTATCCTTTGTAACAAACCAGTAACAGTGAAGTGCTTTCCTGAGTTCTTGGAATCAATCTAGTGATTTACCAAATGGAGTGGGGGTGGGGGTGAGGGGTCTTGAATTTGTATTTGGCCAGGCGGACATGTGGGTAGCCTGGGCACCCTAATTATAGTTGGAGTCTGAAGTGTGGACAGTCTTATACTGAGCCCTTAACCTGTGAGGTCTGTGTTATCTCCAGATAGTTAGTGTCAGAATCGAATTGAACTGTTGGACACCCAGTTGGTCAGGGAGAAAAAAATGCTGATGAGAGAAAAGAAAACATACAAACTCTGATTACAGGTGTGATGCACCAAGTAAACCAGTGGTGCCCAATTTTGGATTTCATGGACCTATAAACTTCAAAAACAGATTGGATGAATCAATACAGAACTGATTGCCAATATTTTGGCCTACTTGCCAGGTAGACAACTGTGGGTGGGGTTGGGGGAGTGGCAGCACCATAACTTATTAAAATGGGATATTTTTGAAACTTAAAAATAGGAATAAAAATCTAAAATAAAAACAAATCATTACATGTAATAACTGTAGACAATTCTCTACATTGTAGTTATGGTTGGTTGGTTGGTTTTTCCCATTTCTCCCTGAGCCAGTGAAATACCTGGTCAAGGGCCTGTTGTAAAGTATAAGTGGTGTGAGCCACAACAGAAATGATTACTGCATGTACATTGGTGTATATACAAACAATAAAGCAACACATCTTTATACTGACATCTTATCTGTGTCATGACAAGCCTCCAAATGAATACCTAGTCAAAGCCTTCAAGATTCTGAGTCAGTGAAGGAACTATGCAAAAGATTAAATTAGTAAATTACTAAACCAAAGTTTTGTGAACATCAGGCACTAAATGAGTCATAAACAAAAAATTCATTTTTATTACCCAATGCAACTGGTATATATATTTGATTATACTTCATTTTCCTGATGTTAATGAAGGTATTTTAAAATGAAATATGGCAGGGCCGGCCTGGTGGCGCACTGCTACAGTGCGCCGCTTGGGAGCGTGGCAACGCTCCCGCCGAGGGTTCGGATCCCACATACAGACCGGCCGCTCACTGGCTGAGCGAGGGGTGGGTGCGACACCGAGGGTTGCGATCCCGTTGCCGGTCCCGGTCCGGTACGGGCGCGACACTGAGGGTTGCGATCCGTTGCCGGTCACAAAAAAAGACAAAAAGAAAAAATAAAAATAAAAAAAATAATAAAATGAAATATGGCATGAGAAAGCTAGAAGCACCTGAATTAAAAAAAAAAAAGTCTAAAAGCTATGACACTGCATTACAATTTTATGGTTTTGTTAGGTAATACAATTCAGAATACACCCAAATTCCTGAGCAGGTATATATGATGGTAGAGAATGCTTGCCAACTTCTATTTTCACAGGTACAAGTAAACAAAAAGTTTCCTGGTATTTAAACAGACTAAGGATTACTTAACTATTTTTGAATATACTATTTATTGAGACTGTAGTAAAGCCAAGTCTTTAACAAACAGCAATTTCAAAGACACCACTTATTAATCACTACTTGTCAAAGGGAGCATGAATATGACCGTGCCTAGCACACAGCAGGCATGCTTTGAATGCTTCTTCAGTATATAATCTCATCTAACAAAACCCTACTGATCAAAATCTGGATCAAATATTATTCCTTCTATTAAGTCTTCTTAGGGTCTCCAGAACCAGAACTGATTGCTCTCTCCT